TTTCATGGTAGCGTGGTAGCTCGTACTTTATATGTAGTTTCTTGATTGTCTGGTCATCCCCTGTTATGTATGTTCATACCATCATATTTTATTGTTGGTTGTCCATGATACATGTCTACCATTTATATTGATCTCGTCAACCCTAAAAGATAATAAAAAAANGTGTCGACTCATGTATAGTTTGGTATGCCTTGTCGGCTAGTTTTTGTTGTATAGTCTTTCATGGTAGCGTGGTAGCTCGTACTTTATATGTAGTTTCTTGATTGTCTGGTCATCCCCTGTTATGTATGTTCATACCATCATATTTTATTGTTGGTTGTCCATGATACATGTCTACCATTTATATTGATCTCGTCAACCCTAAAAGATAATAAAAAAAAGGTTAGATAAAATGTATGTTGGTGCTCGACAAGTATGGTCGGGTGCTAGTCATGGCCCTCCACTTTGGGTCGTGACATGTACGCAGTCTATCCTGAATGATCCTGACCTTGTCCAAGGCCTCTTGAATTAGATCCGTACCCAAAACCCGAGCCTCTCCAGGTTCAAACCATCCAACCGGAGATCGACACCACCTACCATATAAAGCTTCATAAGGAGCCATCTGGATACTCGACTGGTAACTGTTGTTATAGGCAAACTCCGCTAAAGGCAAAAACTGATCCCACGAACCTCTAAAGTTAATGACACAAGCCCGAAACATATCCTCTAATATTTGAATAGTCCGCTCGGACTGCTCGTCCATGTAAGGATGAAATGTTGTACTTAACTCAACCTGGGTGCCTAACTCTCGCTGAAATGCTCTCCAGAAACGCAAGGTAAACTGCGTACCTCGGTCCGAAATGATAGATATCGGCACACCATAAAGGCGAACAATCTCCCGGATATAGATCTCAGCTAACCTCTCGGATGAATAGGAGACTGCCACAGGAATAAAATGCGCTGATTTGGTCAGCCTTCAACAATGACCCAAATTGCGTCTAACTTCTTCCGAGTCAGCGGAAGTCCAATAACGAAGTCCATAGTGATCCGCTCCCACTTCCACTCGGGAAGTTCAATCCTCTGAAATAAACCACCAGGCCTTTGATGCTCATACTTAACTTGCTGACAATTCAAACACCGCTCCATATATGCAATAATATCCTTCTTCATTCTACGCCACCAATAATGTTGCCGCAAATCCTGATACATCTTCGCAGTGCCCGGATGAATAGAGTACCGGGAACTATGGGCCTCCTCTAAAATCAACTCTGGAAGAGTATCCACTTTAGGCACACAAACTCGACCCTGCAATCTCAAAACTCCATCAGCATCTAAGGTAACCTGCTTGGCACCTCCACGCTGCACCGTGTCTCTAAGGACACACAAATGGGGATCATCAAACTGCCGATCACGGATATGCTCCAATAACGAAGAACGAGCGAACATGCAAGCTAATACCCGACTAGGCTCAGAAATATCCATCCTCATGAATCGATTGGCTAAGGCCTGAACATCCAAAGCAAGCGTCCTCTTACCGACTGGGATATAAGCAAGACTGCCCATACTGGCTGACTTTCTACTCAAAGCATCGGCCACCACATTGGCATTTCTCGGGTGATATAAGATAGTGATGTCATAATCTTTCAACAACTCCAACCACCTCCTCTGCCTCAAATTCAACTCCTTTTGCTTGAACAAATACTGAAGACTCTTGTGATCAGTGAACACCTCACATGTCACGCCATACAAATAATGCCTCCAGATCTTCAATGCATGAACAATGGCTGCCAACTCCAAATCATAAACCGGATAGTTCTTCTCATGAATCTTCAACTGCCTCAAAGCATAGGCAATGACCTTGTCATCCTGCATTAACACTGCACCAAGCCCAATACGGGAAGCATCACAATAAACTATGTAAGGCCCTGAACCCGTGGGCAATACTAACACCGGTGCCGTAGTCAAAGCTGTCTTGAGCCTCTAAAAGCTTGCCTCACACTCGTCCGACCATCTGAACTAGGCACCCTTCTGGGTCAACCTGGCCATCGGGGCTATGATAGATGAGAACCCCTCCACGAACCGACAATAGTAGCCAGCCAATCCCAAGAAACTCCGAATATCTGTAGTTGATGCTGGTCTAGGCCAGTTCTTGACTGCTTCAATCTTCTTCGGGTCAACCTGAATACCCTCTGCTGATACGACATGACCCAGGAATGCAACTGAACTCAACCAGAACTCACACTTTGAGAACTTTGCATATAGCTGACTATCCTTTAGAGTCTGAAGAACCACTCTAAGATGCAGCTCGTGCTCTTCTTGGCTGCGGGAATATACCAGAATATCATCAATGAAGACTATCACGAACGAGTCCAAATAAGGCCTGAACACTCAGTTCATCAAATCTATAAAAGTTGATGGTGCATTTGTCAACCCAAATGACATGACCAAGAACTCGTAATGCCCATACTGAGTGCGAAAACCTGTCTTAGGGACATCAGATGCCCTAATCCTCAACTGATGGTAGCCAGATCTCAAGTCTATCTTTGAAAATACCTTGGCACCCTGAAGTTGATCGAACAAATCATCAATCCTCGGTAGTGGATATTTATTCTTGATGGTGACCTTGTTCAACTGTCGGTAATCAATGCACATTCTTATCGAACCATCCTTTTTCTTGACAAACAACACCGGTGCACCCCAAGGCGAAACGGTGGGTCTAATGAAACCCTTCTAAAGCAAGTCTTGCAACTGCTCCTTCAACTCTTTCAACTCTGGTGGGGCCATGCGATATGGCGGAATAGAAATGGGCTAAGTGCCCGGAACCAAATCGATGCAGAAATCAATATCCCTGTCGGGTGGCATAACCGGCAGGTCTGAAGGGAAAACATCAGGAAACTCACAAACCACAGGCACTGAATCAATAGAGAGAACCTCAGCACTGGAATCGCGAACATAAGCAAAATAGGCCAAACACCCCTTCTCGACCATACACCGAGCCTTCACGTACGAGATAACACTACGGGTAGAATGACCAAGAGTCCTCCTCCACTCTAAACGGGGAAAATCCGGTAAGGCTAAGGTCACAGTCTTGGCGTGACAGTCCAATATGGTGTGGTACGGGTATAACCAGTCCATCCCCAATATAACATCAAAGTTTACCATGTCTAACAGCAACACATCAATACGGGTCTCAAGACCCTCAATCACTATGGGAGCTGGTGGTGCACTGTAAGGCTGCTGATCAGAATAGTGCGTCTGAGAACCACGACCACCTAAAGTACCATGAGAGACCTGGAGAGCTAACTGAAAGGGCCTAGGAGGATGGCCTCTACCATATGAATCTATACCTCCAGATGAGGTACCACTGAATCTGCCTGAATGACAGGGCCTCTTATCCAACCCATGACCACCTCCCTGTGACAGAACCATCTCAACTCTGCGGGCCATATTGGCCGCTTCCTGGAAAGTGATCTCACTCCTAGCCTCCTTGGCCATCTGAATACGAATCGGCTGAATAAGACCATCAATAAACCTCCTCACCCTCTCTCTCTCTCGGTGGGAAGTATGACAAGAGCATGGCGAGCTAGATCGATGAACCTGGTCTCATATTGGGTGACAGTGGCGGAGGCAGGATATTTGTGAATTGGGTTCAAAAATTTTAAAAATCAAATACACAATGAAGCTAACCAACCGAAACCAAAAAAAAAGATGCTAACATATTTCATTAATAGAAAGAGAAGTTCTCACCACAAGATAGTGTTAAGATAAACAAATCATAGTAACAAGACTTTCAAAAGAGAAAATACAAAAAACAAGTCTTGTGTTAGTTACAAGGACCTAATGACTAATGAGATCAACAAAAAACAACTAAGTACATTATTACAACTGCACTCGACGAGGTTTCATATCTTGAAATGTTTTAATAATAGTATCATTAGAAATACTATCAAACACATTTTTTTCTACATAAGGCACCAAACAACCACTAAAGAACTCATCATTCATTCGACTTCGTAAGTCATTCTTGATAAACTTCATCGCCGAAAATGCTCTTTCAACAGATGCAGTGGCAACGGGCAGAAGCAAAGCAAGTTTCACTAAGCGAAATACAAGAGGATAATTTGAATGCTTCTTTGTCTGAACTAATCTTTTTGAAAGATCACAAAGCCCACGTAGATCGGAGAATCTTTCATCAACATCACGAACATCAATAATATAACTTGCAAGTTGATTCTCAAGAGTACCCATACTAAATTCATCAAAGTCATCAGGATATAACTCAGCCATTCTCATTATTTTCCTGATGTCAAAACTTGAAAATGAGTTAATTGGATTCAAACAAGAAATTCCATGAAGCAAATAAGTTGTCTCTTCGTCAAAACATTCATTAAGTTCTTGAATTTGCCAATCAATAATTTTGCAAAATACATCAACCCGATAATGATTTAAGACTGTACAATCAGCAGGTTTACGACGTGATCTTAAAGAACTAACATATGGCTCATTAAAGCGAGGTATCAAAATATCATATTTGATATAAAATGCAGATATCTTAGCAATAAGAGATTCCCATTCCTCTTTCCTTAACTTTTGCAACCTTTTCTTTGCTACTTCAACAAGTAGCATGGCGTTTGCAGTGTCTTGCTCTTTTTTTTGTAAGCATTTGTTGAGCTCATTTGTGATTGCTAAAATATCCCTCATCAAATGTAACATGAATGCAACCTCAAATGTTTGACAAGCCCTGAGATATCCCATTGCCTTGGCTCTTTCATCTGTAGAACGTGTATCAAGAACAAGTGATTCAAGAACATCAAGAATAGAGCCAAACATCATAATAAATTATTAAATAATTTAAAGTGAGATCCCCAACGAGTATCACATGCTCTTGAAAGACCAAGTTCTTGATTCAAGCCCCTACCGGTTGTAAGCTCACCCATATCTAATGCCTCTTGAATTCTTTCTTTTTGAGATTCTCAAAATTCATCCATACGCTTAAAAGAAGATCCCAATATATTCAAATATTTGAAACCAACACTACAAGTTCCCCCACTTGAAGACATTTCTTAGAAACCGCAACAAGGGTAAGTTGGAGTTGATGAGCAAAACAATGAAAGGAATGAGCCGATCTACTTTCTTGCTTAATCAACATTTTAAGACCATTAATTTCAACTTGCATATTGCTTGCCCCATCATAACATTGTCCACGCACATATGATAGACTTAAGGAGTGTTGAGCAAGTAAATTAACAATTGCACTCTTCAAAGATGAAGCACTAGTATTTTGGACATGAACAACATCAATAAGTCGCTCCATCACAAATCTCATTCTATCAACATACCGTAAGACAATAGCCATTTGCTCCTTGCGGGACGTATCAAAAGATTCATCAACTAGCAAGGCAAAGTAATCACCATTTAGTTCCTTAATTATAGTTTTAGTTGTTTCTATCTTACATGTAATAACAATGTCTTTCTGAATCATTGGAGAAGTCATTTGATCATTTTGAGGAGCATGTTCCAGTACATAATCATGAATGTTATCACACACTTTTGCATACCATGAGAGTGTTTGAAGAAAATTACCCCTACTAAGTGAAGACTTAGATTCATCATGACCTCGAAATGCTAATCCTTGAGTTATAAGAAGTCTTACTACATTAACTGAAGCAGTTAAGCGGATCCAATACTCATGCTTAAGTTGACTAGATTGCCTCTCAAATGAAGATTGAATAAATCGTTGTTGCCGCAAATCTTGGCATTTCTTTTTTGACTCATTGTGAATGCCACTCGACCTATGTTTATCAAAACTATTCTTTTTATGCCAATTCTTAAACCCTATACTTGAAAATACATCACCTCCACCTTGATGAATATTATTATCTTTAAACAGATAACAATACAAACAATAGGCTGCATCTTTACTTACACTGTACTCCAACCAATCATGATATTCATCATCAAACCATTTAGGATTAAATCGACGCATTGATCCAGAAAAATTTGTTTTAAGAAAGTTATGAAGTCGAGGTTGACAAGGACCTTGTTGAAGGAATTCTCTTCTAATAACATCGCGATGATTTGGATGGAAGTCCAAGATTTGAGTTCTTTCCCCCGGGACAAACTTTAAAGAATCCAAATAAAATTCATTCGAAGATGGTACTTCTAAATGGTTGATATTCTCTTCCTGGATAGGTTGAGTATGGGAAGCCAAATTTGGTTTTGGTGCTTTGGTAAAATACCTCTTCACTGAATTTTGAGACTGAATTATAAAGTAGGAGCATAGTTAGAAAAATTGATATATGAATGTTGTATCGAATTATTAATGGCACGAGAGGCAGAAATGAAGCAAATGAGACTCCTGGATATAATTTTATTAATCTCCAGCTAAGCCAGCCACAAGGACAGAGGAATGATACATCATTAAATGCAATGAAGCTCGGGTAAATTCCCTATTGCGAATCATTGATAAATTATTTATTAGAATCGCCAAACTAAAATGGGAAACTAATCTCACTGATATGATTTCAGCATTGCAACAGACTACAACTGCACTACAAAGCAGATTGACAGCTTTCTCATGATACAGGGCAAAGCATCAAGCTCAGAAAGCTTAGTATATATTTTTCAGTAGCCCATGTTGAGAAACCAGCGCTCCTCATGATTTCAAGTACAAAAACTTAAGATATTGCAGATTCAAGAAACAATAAACTAAAAAATAACAATAAAATTAACTAACATTGCAGATTCAAGAACCAAGAAACAACAAACAAGATTAATTAACCTAAATTAAGAATCAACAACAAAACATTAATAAACTTCTGAAAAAAGTTAGAAAGAACAAGGAATTTACCTGGGATGACAATACCATGATAGAAGAAATGCCGGCAACAGGGGAGGCAAGGCAACAAAGAGAATTGAGAAGCAGTGGCGGATAGTGGTGGTCGCCGGTCAGTGAGGCAGCGTGGCAAACAGATCGAACAGAGAGAGGGGGGTGGACCGTGGACTGACTAGTGAGGCAACGACGTGAGAGAGAAAGAGATTTAGGGATTGTTTAACCCAAAATTAGTCACATTTTTGGGGAAAACATATTAAAATAGACGACGAAAAACGACGTCGTTTTGTGTCGTTTAAAATTTTAAAAAAAAAATAGCGTCTGACGTGAAAAGAATGGGATTGCAGCTGATAGGAATCGAACTTGCGATCTTCTACACAATCTGAACACCCTTGACCACTAAGCCAAGCTTTTGGCTTGTGTGAAGGGTGTTCAACATATTATATCTATACGTAAATAATAAAATTATCCCTATATAAACAGTGTAATTTTCCGATGAAGGGTGTTCGGATGACCACCCTTGCGCCCCCCTAAATCCGCCCCTGCTGGGCGACCGTCATGGAACCCTGCTTGAGGCACTCAAACTGCCTCCGAAAGGCCTCTCTCTGAGTCACGGGGAGAAACTTCTCCAAAAACAACGCTGTGAACTGTTCCCAAGTCAAAGATGGCAAACCGGCTGGTCTAGCTAAGCAATAACCCCTCCACCAAGTCTTGGAGGATCCAGACAGACGAAAGGTAGCAAAATCAACTCCATTGATCTCAACGATCCCCATGTTCCAAAAACCCTCATGACAACTATCCAGATAATCCTGGGGACCCTCAGTAGATGCACCACTGAATGTAGAAGTGGAGAGCTTGGTGAACCTATCCAGCCTCCACAAAGCATCGGCAGACATAGCCGCTCCATCGTCGGTCTAAGCTACTACACCCGGCTGAACTTCCACAACTGGTTGAACCGCTGGAACCTGAACCTGGGGAGCTACCTGCTCTGGAGTGTGCGTAGCAGGAGTCTGAGCCCCTCCTCCAGCTTGAGAAGTGGCTACTGCTACGGGAAGCAAACCCGCTCGGGTGACACTCTCCATGAGGCCCACTAATCGGACCAGAGCGTCCTGAAGAACTGGGGTGGCAATGAAACCCTCTGGGACCTAAGCTTGGCCCACCGGAACTGCTGGGGCCGGAACCTCCTTCTCAAAATCAACCTAAGGCTCCGCCACTGGTGCTGCTGCTCGGGGCTGAGCTATGCCCCTACCTCGGCCTCTAGCACGGCCTCGGCCTCGACCCCTAGTGGAAGCTGCTGCTGGGGCTCGGGCTACTGAGCGGTAGATGAGGAAGTGCGTGTTCTCGCCATCTCGATAGAACAGAGTAGAAATCAAATTAGCATTTGAGGAACAAATCCGCACGACAAGAAAGAACAAGTGTGAAATTTTCCTAACTCTATAGCCTCTGGTGAAAAGCACAGACGTCTCTTATCCTATCCCTCAGACTCTACAGAGCTTGTCCGTGAGTTGTGAGACCTATGTAACCTAGAGCTCTGATACCAACTTGTCACGACCAGAATTTTCCACCCTCGGGAGTCGTGATGGTGCCTACTAATATGAGCTAGGCAAGCCAATTCTTAACTGCTACTTCATTAACAAATTACTTCTTTTGACAATTATCAGTAATATCATGAAAACAACGGAATTTAAAAATATGCGAAAGACGTAAATTAAAGAAACTAAACAATAATGTGGAAATCAACATATGACTCTACCCAAGAACTGGTGTCACATTACTCATGAACTTCTAAGAGTACTAAATACAACCGTTTGAAAGAAAAATATAAACTGTTTGTCTCGAAAACCTGAAATAAAAGATAGAGGAGACGTCGGGCCTGCGGACGCCTGCAAGGCTACCTCGGTGTCTCACTGGACTGAAGGCTGGCTCCTGCGCTACTGCTGCTGTCCAAGACCTGGATCTGTGCAAAAGAGCACAAAATGTAGTATCAGCACAACCGACCCCATATGCTGGTAAGTGTCCAGCCTAACCTCAGCGAAGTAGTGACGAGGCTAGGACCAAACTCCAAATAAACCTGTGTAGTTCATATATATATACATACAGCGGGAAAAAGATATAGGAATAACCAGTAAATACGGGTAGGGGAAACATATTGTGGGGGTGAATATAGTTCCGAATAGAAAGGCATCAAGTAAGGAAGGAAACAACATAACTAGAATATCAACAAGGAAGCAGAAATCAACAATTTGCACGGCATCACCCTTCGTGCTTTTACTCTCGTTCTCACCAAAACAATACACGACATCACCCTTCGTGCTTTACACTCTTCCTCACCCAAACAACAATTACAAGGCAAATAGGGTAAGGAAATCTAATACCTAGAAATAATCAAATAACAGCAAGTAATGAAAGAAACAACATAACTCGGATATCAACAAGGAAACCAGAAATCAACAAATACAGGGNAAATAAACCTGTGCAGTTTATATATATATATATACATATACAACGGGAAAAGATACAGGAATAACCAGTCAATGCGGGTAGGGGAAACATACTATGGAGGTGAATATAGTTCCGAATAGAAAGACATCAAGTAAGGAAGGAAACAACATAACTAAAATATCAACAAGGAAGCAGAAATCAACAATTTGCACGGCATCACCCTTCGTGCTTTTACTCCCGTTCTCACCAAAACAATACACGACATCACCCTTCATGCTTTACGCTCTTCCTCACCTAAATAGATATCACAAGGAAAATAGGGTAAGGGAATCTAATACCTCAAAATAATCAAATAACAGCAGATAATGAAAGAAACAACGTAACTCGGAAATCAACAAGGAAATCAGAAATCAACAAATACACGACATCACCCTTTGAGCTTTTACTCTCTTTCCTCACCATATAATCAATAAAATCGACACAGAATGGTACATCGTGTGGCACGGCATCACCCTTTGTGCTTTACACTCTTTCCTCACCATATAATCAATAAATATCGGTACGGAATGGTACATCGTACGGCACGGCATCACCCTTCGTGCTTTACACTCTTTCCTCACAATAGCAAACAATGCATGTCATCACCCTTCGTGTTTTATCGCTCTTCCTCAACCAAACAACAATCACAAACAAGGGGCAAGGGATTAAACAAATAATAATAATAGAAATCCCGGCAAGGGAATGCAATTTAATAACTTTTTCTCTTTCTTTCACTTCTTACTTTATAACTCACTTTACCACTTGAGCCAATGCTCCAAAAGGTTTCATTTATCTCATATACTTTCACAATTCGTATTACCACTCGAGTCAATGCTTCTCGAAGTTCAAAGATCACAATTTCTTTCACATGCTTTCTACAACATATAGAAATCATCATTTAGGCATGAAAGATACAACAAGATCAGAATATCCGCAATACAAAGACTCACGGTCATGCTAGACACCAACGTATAGATACTCGTCACCATGCCTATACGTCGTACTCGATAATTAGCACGTAGAAAATAAGACTCAACTCCTAATCCCTCAAACTAAAGTTAGACCAAATATTTACCTCAACTTCCACGGCCAAATCAATCCACAACAACTGCTTTCCCTCTCGAGTTCGGCTCTAGCTCAATCAAATCTATACAATAATGACTTTATAATATCATTATATGCTAAACAAAACAAACCCAATGCCTAATTATAGATTTCCAATCTTTCTTCCCAAAATCTCAAAAATCGACCCCGGGCCTGCTTGGTCAAAACACGAGGTTCAGACCAAATTCATATCCCCCATTCATCCACGAGCCCGAATATATAATTTGTTTCGAATTCGACCCCAAAACGAGGTCTAAATCAAGAAAAAGTAAAAAGCCCTAACTCTACCCAATTCCTCCAATTTTTATCCTAAATTACATGTTTTAGGCTTAGGAATTCAATAGATATTGATGGAAAATGAAGAAAACGAGTTGAAGTTTACTAACCCAAGAAGTGTTGGTGAAAGAGAGCTTCAATGGATGCCTAAGGACCTTGGAGAAGAAGGAGTTCGTGTGTTTTTATGAAAATCCCGCAACTACACTGTTCCGGAATTAAAAATTATAACTGGGCAAAATTGCCCTTCGTGTTTGCGGAAGGAAGGTCGCGTTTGCGAAGGGTAAACTTGGCAG